GACACTATACTTAAACTATGGAGTGAAGGACAATTGTTTTGTGCTGTGTTACCTGGGCCAAAGATATATTGGTGGACTTTCTTGATGGTTTAGGTGAAACAAAAAGCTGGGATCACTCGGGCTTAAGTTATATCTGCATACGTCATTGGGCCTACAAGTTGAGGGTAAACCCCTTTTCGTGATTAGATGGGTGCATTGTCGGACAGTGATCCCATGGTGAGTGGCAGTTTTATTTAGGAGATTTGAATGTTCATGGTTTTATTTTCTCACCCCACCATCTCGTTGCTGATTACCTGTTCAGCTTATTGGCCACTGGCAAGGATGTCGGTCTCACATAAACTTTGTATTGATGACCTTGCCCTTTTGTAGCTATTTGCAATCTGTCATCTGTGTTTCCTTTATTGACTGATGCATTTTAATTTGGAAATGGAAATTTATAGTCTCAATAAGAGAATCTTTGTAAGCAATTTACTCGTGGTCCTCGGTACTGAATACTCTGGCCTTAGCTTCATTAATATTGAGGGATCATAATGATTACATCTTTTAAATATGTTTGGGACGTTTTTTTTACGCAATAATTGATTTGATGCTACGAACAGGAAATAGGTTGATACGCATGGTATATCACTGAATGAGAAGTTTGGCCAAGCTGGGGCAACCAAAGATTTTTGAAATTTTCTGAGTTTTTATTTATTTATTTATTTATTATTATTATTATTATTATTATTATTATTATTATTATTATTATTATTATTATTATTATTTAAAAAAACTAAAAAAAAATTGGCCATCCTGCTAGTGTGTCATTGCAAAGAAACACGTATCTATATCAGATTCTTGTGAAGTAAATAAGTACAGAGGCTATGTTGAAGATGTGTTTTTTTATTTTACTTATAAAAAATAAGTGTCTTTTGAGTAAGTTTTTGCAGTTTCAATGATGCAGTGATGATGAGCATAAAATGGTGTTATTTAGAGTTGAGGCGAATCCTACTCCATAATTCTTCCCTCATCTCATGATTTCTTCTCTTCTGTTTGACAGAGACCACCATTATCAGTTTATTTCCTGGCAGCAGATTGCAAGAGGTTACACGCATGCTGCCTATTTTTGCTGATACTCTGAAGTTACTTAGATGCTCTTTTCCTGATATGGTGGCGTCCTGTAGCACCTAATCAACATGTTCAGGAACACATCAAGAAGAATGTTCAGCAATGGGTGGTGCCTGCCATATTGATATCCGGGGAATCTTCTTTCAAAAATATGATGCTTCCAGCGTACGTTATTCTTGATCTGATTTATGCTATTGATCCACATTGTCTGATTTTTCTTATGAGAAAAATGCATCATGGTTCTGGCTTTTCTTCTTCTTAAGATGTAAGTGGAAGTATCTGAAAAAATTTCAACTTTTGTGGCGCTTTGATTACAACTGTGAGAGTTGCTAAAATGCATGTCAGGTTTGATTGCAAATATATGAAAGTTGTCACAAAATGCATGTCATAATTCATTTTCGTTGTATTATACTATCAAATTTTCATTTTATGTATCCGCGTACATGGTGTTTGACAAGTATTTTTTTGTGGGACTAGGTTCAATTTATTTTAGACATTACTATGGAACTTTTTGCAGGCAAGCAAAGCTGCAATTGCTACTTCAGGGACAGCCGTTATGGAATTGCAACTTGCACGGCTGCCTTGCGTTGTTGGGTATCGTGCCCATATCTTGACAGAATGGTTTATTCGTTTGAGGGCAAAGTCAAAGTACATGTCCCTACCCAATATTCTGTTGGATTCAGCTGTTATTCCAGAAGCTCTATTATCCAATTGCACAGCTGATAGACTGTCCATGTTGCTCAAGTAAGATGATGCTCAATTAAGTTGATAATAGGTGGCCAAGCTAGATCTTTTTGACTGCTAAGCTTTCTGAATTTTAGTGAACTTTTGACATTTGCTTCTCCAATTGGTTGATTGCAATCCCTGTCCTGGTTGGTCCTCATCAGCATTGCATGGATGGATTTCAGTCCATTATTGTGTAATGTACTGAAATAATGCGCTAACTGCTTGTGGATTTCCTTGTCAATGAAATCAGAGGCATGCACTTTCATGCAGTCTATCATTCTTGCATGATACATGTATGAATGTGCTTAGGACTGATGAGTACCTTGCAAAAAGAAAGAAAATTGTCACCGATTAATAATGAATTAAAATTGTGGAGGAACTCATCTAAATAAACTTGTCTTACCCCCAATTGCAGCAAAATCATTTGGGACGAAAGCCTTCGTGAGGAACAGATTGCATCTGCTAGGAACGTGCTTAATATTCTATGCCCAAAGCAAAAAAGTTCGTATAATTTGCATGGGGAAAGGCTTGGATCTTCATGCACACCAAGTATGATTGCTGCATCTACCATTATGTATGAATTTACTTGTAATATTTGAAAAGTGTCTAATCTCTGTAGCATCTTTTTGGTTAGGTGATGTCTTCCTTTTCTCTGGTTAAATTAATTTTTTCTGTGGTAGCTTCATTATCTTGAGATGAATATTTGAACATTAAACACAATTATTTAATCAGTGTTGAGCACGTCTCATTACATTTCAAAATTGATTGCATCTATATGCTATATAAGGCCTTCTAGGTTAAAGAGATCCACCCCGAAAGTGTACTTCGAGTTTGATGGGTTGGGGACTTGTGTTACATTTTAAGGTATGAAGAGCTTGCAATCAGCCAAGCAAGCTTGGAACTGAAGGCATACGAGACGGTTTCCAACTTGTGAGGAAATTTTTACCTTGAAATTGGAGTAATCATAAGCATTGTTAGAAAAACCGGGCGATCTAACCACTAACCGCCCGGTTAGATCGGAATCGGCCAGTGACCGGTTCTGGTTTTGGGAGGTTTTGGCGATCTATTTAAAAAAAAAATTCAAAAAAATGTATATAAATTCCCAAAAGTAAGGAATTTGGTTTGTAATACACTTTCTATTATTCTTTACATTATGGTAAAGATTAAAAATTAGTTTTGTCATTAATACTCACTTTAATTCAAAAATCGATTTGTTAAAATCTATGTTTCATTAATTTTCAACTTCATTTGAATGTGTTTAGTTTTAATCATTTTTTATATGTTTTTTATATTTTAGTAGATTTTTTTTGTATTTTTTTATTTTTTCAACACTTTTTTTGACCACCCGAGATTTGCTCGGTTAGAATGGTTGAATTGGTCGGTTTACCGGTTAGGCTGGTTAAACCACTTCTGGGCCCATGTCTGGTTAACTGTTCTGGTTCGATTTTGCAAATGATGGCCAATGCTTCATTCTCTTTTTTTTGTTTTACTTAAATTCTTCTTACACGGTACCAAAGAAGGCAAATGCTTAGGTAGTGTTCTTGGTTTGGCTGGGTTGTAACATGTTATGCCTTTGGAAGTTAAGGGGATTATCTAAAACTTAGTATTATCTATGCTAAATAGATGATTTGGCAAATAGCAAGAGGATTGATAGTATGGGAGGTTTGGAAGGAAAAAAATAGAAGAGTGTTTGATGGGATAAGTATGCGTGTTGAGAGAATTTTGGAGAAAATATTACACTCAGATTTGGCTCTCGTGCTCAATTACATTGGGAAAGATATTATGGAAATCTTTTTCAATTGGGCTCTTTTAGCTCGTTAGGGACCCAGGGTTAGCTGGTTATCGAAGAGTGGTGAGGGATTGGAATGGAACTGTCACTTCTCTTATGCAAGTGAAAAGAGCATAATCGTGGCTCTCTTTAATGGTTTAAAACGTTTCTTTAATGGTTTAAAATTTTGTGGTAAGGAATGGTTTAAAACTTTTTGTGGTAAGGTATTTAGGATCTTATTGTGTTGTGGTTTAAAACTTTTTGTGACAAGGAATTTAGGATCTTTTTGTATTGTAGAAGGTGATTCACTGAATGTCATCAAATGCTATAATAGGTCAAATGGATAGGGAAAACAATTGCGGTCAAATGGTGTAATAGGGAATAAAAATTGCCTAATGTAAATGCCATAATAGGTCAAATGGATAGGGAAAAAAATTGCGGTCAAATGGTGTAGTAGGGAACAAAAATTGCCTTGGGAGTTTCAGCCTATTTTGATACAAATTTGGAACAGTCGTGAAGTCAAATGTATTGGCGGATTTCCATGCCAAAGGAAACACTGCTTTAACTAAGACTCTTGTCTCGGAACATTCGTGAAGTCAATGTATTAACGGATTTCCATGCCAAAGGAAGCACTGCTTTAACTAAGACTCTTGTCTCAGATTTTGTAATTTCCTTTTAATATCTTATTAATAAAGTTCGGAATTTCTATAAAAAAAAAAGACAGTTTCTACTGCTTTCTACTTCGTGCCGGCCCACATTTGCATTCAAGTTTAAATTTGGTTGGATGCGAACAGACAACCAAGATCTAATTTTCGTGAAGTGTTCCATTGCAAACTACTTTTTCTTTTGTGATCTTGTTCACATATATCATAGTGCGGGCCCTTGGATCTGCGCGGTCCATCTCAATGGATGGTGTGCACTGGAATTTCATTTCAGGTAACCTGGGCCTGGATCCTCTCTCTCTCTCTCTCACTTTTCTAATTTTTTGAAGGGCAAAAATAGCAGAAACCAGTGTTATGAAACCATTCTCCACTCTTTTATCATTCTCTCACAAGGTGATGAAGATAAAGATAAGAAGTTCTCTTGTATTTTTTTGCCCTTTTTCTTCTTGTCATAAATGGGCTAATGCTGTTTGGGGCTGCTTTAGCAGCGAGGACATTCGGAAGAAATCATGGTCGTGGTGGTGCGAAGGGTTTTCTTAAAGGAAGCCAAAGTATGCTGCGCAGATTGAAGTATTTGGAAGGTTACCAACATTGAGTAGCGAACCTTGCTCCTCCATTGACAAACATAATCAACAGAGAACATGACAACCCGAGATAAAACTCGGAGCTTTAAATTTTATTCCTAAAACTCATTAACTTTTGTTGGTATTGAAATTTTACGGCACACAGAGCAATAATTCTCAAGATCACAGGGCACCATTGCAAAATTCGCAGCTGGCAGTGTTCAAGCTTTATAAAGAGCATTAATGAATTAACCCCTTCTCCCTTAAAATTGTCAGGAACATTAAGCTGAACAAAAATGGTGAGAAACTTGCTCGTAATACAGGCTTTCAGCTCATAAGAACTGAGCTTGCAAATTTACATCCAAGGTAGAATCCAACTCTGAACAACTCCCGGTGGTTTTGCTCTGCAACTCGTAATGGAAACGAAATCATGCCATTTTCACCATCTGATCCTTAGAATAAGCCCGACAAAATCCTTTCTATCGCCAGTGCTACCATTTCCCACCATCTCTCTCTACCTAAGTTGATGAATCAAAACTCCATTCGCAGAGTCAACCAAGCAGCAGAGCCTGCGTCTCTACCCCACAATGAGTCTTTATCCACGCTGCACAAACCATATTCTCTATATTCTTGGGGTGGGGGGAGAGATGAAAAAGAACCCTAATGTATTATGAGAGAGAAAAGAAATTTGGAATCCTTTTCTGGTTACTCTTGAGGCACCATGTATACATCCCCTTCAATATGCAGATGACATCATTATATTTTGTGGGGCAGAATGCGATCAAATACTAACGTTTCTTCGATGCTGTGAAATTGTCGTTAAGGCTTAGTTAATTTTTAAAGAACTTCAATTGTTGGTGTAGGATGTGATGAGTTTTTTGTTAGAAGTTTGGCTACTACGATGAATTGTAGAGTGGAGTTTTTCCCAATGAAATACTTGGGTATGTCGATTTCAGATTCAAGATTATCAAAGAAAGGATCTCAGGCAGAGTCCATGTGAAATTAGATCTTTGAAAGGCAAAATATCTATCTTTGGGCCAAAGTATCTATCTTTGGGAGGGCGTATTATCCCTTATTAAATGTTCTCTTTCCAATCTCTGTATTTACCAAATGTCCTTCCTCATTGTGCCAAGAAATATCATAAAACCGATTTGAGCAAAGGAATTTTTTTTGGAGTTCCAATGAAAAAGGAAGTATCATTTGGTGAATTGGCAAAACATATGTACTCCTAAAAAGGAAAGTGGAGTGGGTAACCGAAAATAGAAGTTAGTTAACCAAGCATTAATTGCCATCTGTTGGTGGCGGGCAATGTATAATGAGCAACAACTATGAAAAAAGGTGTTAGTTGTCAAGTATGGTGTGGACCCTTCAAATAATTTGATTGCTAGGGGCCGTACTAGTTTACATCAATCTCATGTTTGGAAATCCATTTTATATATGCACTCGTTTATAAAAGGCATGCAAGGTGGTCAGTTTGGAAAGGTGACAATATCCTTTTCTAGCATCATAAATGGGCACTTGATATTACTTTTAAATATGAACATCCAGGTTCGTTTCAAAGAATAGCTCAGCCATGGCAAAGGTGAGGGAGGTGTCTGAATGGAATGAGAACTCAATTTTTTAGAATGTCAATTGCCTTTACAATAGAATTCCTTACATTGTTGCTGAACAAATCTTGGAATTGTTGAAGGTTATGGAGGGAATTCATAAATCTAGTACTATGGAGGATGAACCGGTATGGGAATTCAAATA